CCGGCCCTTTTTCTGAAAGAAAGAACAGCACCAAAGATGCTCATGAAGTGCTGCTTGTTTTCTGTGACCCAGGGCTCTTTTTCACTGGAACTGGCAGAAAGTAAGCAGCCAGCTACAGATCCAAAAGGTCTGGCGGAAACTACAAGAGGTACAGGCTCAAATGAGAGAGAGATACTGAGATATTGCCTCAGGAAAGCATACAGACTATGAGCCAACAGCAGTAAAAGATCAGGAGGAGTTTACCAGATGAAAAAATAAACTAAAAAGCATTAAAAAAATACCTGTAGGTGTGAGTTCCTCTCTTTGTAAGTTGATAGTATTCATTGGCTCTAGTAAGTAAGAAGCAGACTGTATTGTTTGGGTTTCTTTCATTATTCCATGTACAGACATGATCAAAACATTTGCTGAAATTGAATTCTTCCTTTTGTTATAAACGTTTTCCATAAAACTACAGCCTTGTTGGTTTGTGAGTGCTTGTGCTCACACATCTTTTGGGCAATATGTTGCTTTCACTTGTTCTTCCTGAAATCATTCTGGCTCTCTCATGGTGCAGAGAAGCAGCAGTTAGCCTAATGAGTGTGTTTTACAGCACACATTCTGATAAAACGTTTTTTGGTTCTCTTAGTGAGWCACTACATGAGCATCTGGATGTGCTTTTAAAGCCAGACTCCAAGCAGATTTGGTAACAAGTTGGAAAGATGTCCTTCGCAAAAGTTACTTTAATGAAAAGCACCATTTTGGGAGCTAGCTTCCATATTGTGACATGATTGCACAACATTTTGGGGAGTTTTCATGATAATCTAGAATCTTGTACATGCAGACACTAATTCCTGTGGTCTTTATGCCTTGGCAGCCTTGAGGTACTTYTGCTGCAGCAGATGAGAGAGCTAAMTGAGCTGGTGATTGTCAAGGTAATGAAATGGCTAAGGAAAACCAATTCCTCTTGGCTGTTCTTATGAGAAGTACCTATTTTCAATAACATTTTCACATTTTAATGTAGCTAGGAGGGACTTGATGGTTTTCATCAGTAAGGAATACTTCAGGATTTTACTTTAGGTGTATTTGCTAAAAAGAGCACCTAATTTTCTTTCATAATTTTCTTCCTTGCAKTGGAAGGCAACAATTTTACATGTTATAAGAAGGCAAATAATAGTGAATTCTGCCTCTCCTTAAAATCTGATGCGCAAAAATCTATAATTTCATTTTGGAACAGCTAAGTGAGTTAAAAAAAATGAAATTTACTTAATTGTTTGTTTATTTTTAGGAGATAGATGAACCTAGATTCTCTGCTTTACTGTTCTTTTCTCCTTGGTGCCTCATACACCGATTCATTTAGTTTCCTTTGTAGCTGACTCAGAAACCTGAACTCTGAACATGGACTTGATGTAACTTATTTTTATTCACAAGCAAGATAACAAGGCAAACTCTTACTTCATCTATTGTCTCGCTTATACTGGAGATTGTGCCTTTTGTACATAGAAGGTCACGCTGTGAATTAGTAACAGAATGTAGGAGTTTATATTTTAGAGCATCAGAATGGATAGAGAGGGTTGAATCAAATGTCTGTCTAACCCCAAAAGGCCAGAAGAGGTGAGTAACTGATGGGGCGAGAGCAATGACAGAGCAGACATATAATGACAACTCCCCCAGTACATTCTGTTTTCTGGACAGCTACACACACTGCACATTGGTAATCTATATTAAATAAATCCTTGAATGCTACAAATTTGTTAGATTTAAAGTCCACAGACTTGTCTAAGCAAACCTTTCCTGCTTTTTATGCTTATTCAAGCACTTAATACTCCCTGGCCAAGGATTTCAAGGCTTAAATATGCATGAAGGATTAATGCTTCTTTGTTTTCTTTGCATCTGAATAATTGTCTTTTTTTTTTTTTTTTTTTTTTTTTTTTTTTTTTTTTTTTTGTCTTCCTCAACAAACAAAACTTCGCCATAAAAATTTGGAATACCTTTGCCTTGTGCCAACTGATGAAAAGATCTACCAACCATTTGCTTACCTAAAACTGCACTGTAAGAGAAATAGGGACCCAAACTTCAGTGAATCCTATTTAAACCAGAGGCTGAACTGTCTCCATTAATAAGTGATGATTTGGGTGAAGATAAAACAACTACTAGAAAATCAATATTTAGTTATTATCCAAGGATACAGGCTGTTTTTATCTCTTCACATGAAATTACATAGCAATGCATTCAGCATTTTGCTGATTGGCTTTTCATCAGCAAATCATTCCTTAKAAAAGCAAGCAGTAGCCCAGCTATCAGCAAAAGGCAGGCATCATGCATCTCATTATYTGAGACACGAGAATCTGACAGGGAAATACTGCTGCTTCCAAATCTTCCCTCTGCTGTCTGTATTTAATTGTGTTGCTCTGAATGTGCTTGTGGTGCTTTTAAAGGGTGTTGGGCTGACAACAACAGATGGCTGAAAACAGAATTTGTCTTGTGCACCCCCAGGATCAGGAAGTCCAGTGTCAGCAGGCACATGTCAGTCAGACTGATGCTGTGGGCTATGGATTATTTGCCATTTCCCATGATTCAGGTTCCCCTGTGTCCTTCAGTAGCACTTGTGTTTGCAGAAGTGCAGGCATAGGATGTGTGCACATCCACTCAGACCTCTATGAATCTATGGCAGATGTGAAGTAGCTGGTTGAAGCAGGACGAGGTTTATTCACTCAGATGCCTGGTCTTATGAATGGWGGATGTTTGATCATTTGGAATTATGACCTTTTCTGAGTGTTATAGGAAAGGGGAGAAGATTAACACTCCCCTTGATRAGGATGGAAGGGCCCTTGTGGTCTGTACCACACACATACAGTTAAGGCACTGCCACYGACTTGGTGGCATCTAACCATGTTTAACCCAAAGGAGCAGCATGAAACCTCCTCAGGGGAGGTTTAGGTTGGATATTAAGGAGAGGTTCCTCACCCAGAGGGTGGTTGGACACTGGAACAGGCTCCCCAGGGAAGGGGTCACAGCACCAAGCCTGACAGAGCTCAAGAGGAGTTTGGACAATGCTCTCAGGCACATGGTGTAACTCTTAGGGTGTCCTGTGTGGGGCCAGGAGTTGGAATCAATGATCCTTGTGGGTCTCTTCGATCTCAGAATATTCTGTGATTCTGTGACAAGGTTAAAGGCTAGTATTTCAAGTTCCTGTCTGTCCAAATTCACTGGTGGTTGTTCAAAATATTTCAGACTAYTGAACTGCATAAACATGACTATTCCAGCACTTGAGGTACACATACAAATGCACAGAACCCCTTGCTGTAGGTTACAGAAGAATTTCAAAYGCAGCTGTCAGGTGTGCAGCCAGARYTGACTCGGTTTCTTCACACTACAGGTAAAATTCATGTTTCAACTGTGGTACAATTCCTTTTTGCCCTGTTCTTGCAGGTGTACCTCCTTCCCACAATGGAAAACAGAGCTGTGCTCGGTTGCCCTGGCACTGAGTCCATGCTGTGGGAAGGAAAGCAGCAGGTACCCCTGGCCAGAGCGGGGCTCAGAGAGCGGCAGTGAAGGTGCCAAAAGGGCTTCTGCTGGGCACAGAATCCCTGCATCCATGCATCCATGCATGCATGCATCCATGCATCCATGCATGCATGCATGCATCCATCCATCCATCCATCCATCCATCCATCCATCCATCCATCCATCCATCCATCCATCCATCCATCCCTTCTGAAGTCTCCCTAAGGAGNCATCCATCCATCCATCCATCCATCCATCCATCCATCCATCCATCCATCCATCCATCCATCCATCCATCCCTTCTGAAGTCTCCCTAAGGAGGGCACCAGGGACTTTGGGGTGCAGTGGCAATGGGAAGGCCACACAGATTAGGGTTCCCTCTTCCTCAGTGCTGGGCTCTGTACCATGGCATGGACTCTTTCAGTATAGCAAATCTGTTTTGGGGTTTATTCACTTTCCAGAGGCACCAAACAGGATGCTATCCAGCTCATTAATATTCCTCTGTGCTGTGGCAGGATCCTGAAGCTCTCATTCAGGCAATAACTCTGCTGCATTGCACGAAACCAGCAGCGTAAGCAACAGCTGCTTAGCTCAAACCACATTATGAAGCTTGTAGGCATAAAATGATTAACATAATTTCTAAAATCTAAAGAAAATTTAGCCACRGCTCATTTCCCCAGGCACTCTAGAAATACCTTTTTCTTGTTTAAGAGGTATGTAGGTCAGTCAAGTGTTATCAGKAACTAGCATTTAGCAAGAAAGCTAAAGCTTGCACTGCTTCAGTCATCAGTTTTTCTAAAGCTGACTCTATTCTCAGAAATCTGGGTTGGGTTGGTTTTTTTTTTTTAAATATATATAAACATACAAACAACCAGCACAATATGCAGTACATATGAGCAATCTCTGTCCTCATATTTCATCAGGGGCCTCTGTCACTCCTGTATATAGGATTTGTTCTCCCATTTACTAATTCTTTGAGGACTGACCTGACATTTTCAGTTTATCATGATTCTAGAGCACAGCTCAGCCAAGCTGTTTCAAAAGCACACTGAAGCACAGTTTGTASTCCAGGCCCTCCAATCCTCCTTTGACAGTGTGTATTGAACCAGACGAGGAAAATGGTCTGAAATATTCCAGTCCCACATATATTCTGAGCAAGAAAGGGGCAGAAGAAGACAACAGTGTGGGAGGAGAGAGCTGCCCTTTCCTAAGCASTCACTAAAGTGCACTGGCAGACACCTTAATCAGTGTGGGCACAGTTCATACTGAATCTCTGACTTCTCTGCTTAGTGTCTGGAAGAGCTGTTACTTGTGATAAAGACACTGGCACTGTTAGCTTGGAGGTCCYACAGGGCCCCCTACCTACCTGCAATCCTGCATGGAAGGGGTAAAAAAMCCCATGGAGTACACTAGGGATTTTTTTCTTCTGTTAAAAATGCCTAGCAAAAAAATTCTGTGGAAATATGAAAACAGTCAACACCTTCTGCAGCAGCAGAAAAGGAAAAAATCAATTCAAATTATACAGAAGGCAGTACATCTACCCATGGCCTTTCTGCTCTCAGCATTTTCTAACCCTTAAAGTAACCAGTCAGTGATAACAATCAAAGACAATGAAGCAAACTTGAAAGGACTTCTTAAAGGGTACTGTCWCATTAGACAATCATGGTCTCTTCTAATATGCTTTATTATCCAATTATTCAGTATTTACACGTTTGATCTAAAGTGACGGGGGGGCCTTTCCTTCCTTTTTTTAAGGTTTTGTGGGGTAAATAATATCTGAATATGAAAAAGGGAAGAAAATAAAGACACTGAGCAAGTTAGATGAAGGAAAAAAAAAAACTAGATTTGGAATGAATCCCAAGTGATTTTCATTTATTCACTGAGTTGAAACAATTTCCTTGTAAGACATTACAGATTCAGTACACAATGCTGCTCAAGAATGACACTATATTTATAGTGAGCTGTGAGGTATTGTAAGACAGAAATTAGACACATTGTCTTAAAGCTTGACAAAAGCTAAATATAATGGGGTGTCCTGACAAAAGAGAGAAATAAATGCATGCAACTTATGCAAAAAGGACTTTGCTATTMAGGTAAATGTTGCTGTTTATTACCTGCCACATACTGGTACCATTTCTCCAATGTCGTAGCAACATGCTACATGCTTCTGATAGGAAAAACACTAATTTAAATGGTGCAGCTTTAGAAATAAAATAGTATTATTTTACACTTATTTTTAATTGGAATTTTCTGTAAGATTTAATTTTAATTTTTTATAATTTAACATACGAGATCACAGAGTTTCAAAATCCCAGGAGCTGCTAAAATTGCCAAAAGTGGTGTAGAAAAAATCCACTACTAACAGAGATAACAGCATTCTTCAGTCTCAGATCATAAAAATGAGATACAAAGGAAAAAATGATTGATTAAAATAACAGTGCTGCCAATACCTACAAATGAAATTGGATTGAAGGCATATAACCTTTAGGAAGAACTGATTAAAATGGCAAACAGTAGACAGGAACATGCTGCAGTGTCCTGCTCCCCAGACATCAGGGGAGATAACAATGCAAACAGCCAGGCTGGCAGTGCCAGGGCTGTGACTGAGCAGAARGTGGCATAGACAAAAGAAAACTTCTGAGGAAATCAGAACTAGTTTCTTTACAAAGACTTCTGAAACATTTYCAAGTTCTCAAGAGTATATGGCAAAACTTTTTAAAACACCTAAAATTACTTTATAAAATYAAAAGTTAGTAACTTTTTCTGTGTCATTTTGGTTTTTCTGTGTTCCAGTAATATGCAATGGTAGTCTCCTAACCATATTTCAATATAAGAAAAATATAAATCTACCAGAATGTGGAATAACTGGAGTTGTCTGATTTTGCTTTGAAAACTCATGGGAAGACTTTCCATTTTCCTCTGAGAATCAGAGGAGAGTAAAGCAAAAGGATGAGCAGAGCTGGCTACAGAAATGCATTTATTAGACAGAAGCAGAACTAGGTCAAATTGTGTTAAAAGTGCATGCTTTATAAGGGAAAGACCAAAAGTAAAGAAAGGGTGGAAAGGGATTCATTGCCTGTCAAGCTGGGAGGAAGATAAAATGTCAAAACAATTGAATGTCTGAAAGATTACAGTATTATCAACAGGAAGAATGTGGATTTAAAAGATTAGCATAATTGACAATAATTTTGCATTGTTTAAATTTAAAGTGGAAAGAACTTCAGGAGGCTAGAAATGCTAAACCATCCAAGAAAAGAAAAAGCATTCTCTTTCTGCCCATGTTTACTTTTCAAAAATCTTACATCATTACTTTTTGGTGAAATGTARAGATTTTGATTAAAGCAATTTTTTATAGGCTGTGCTTGTTTTCTGCTAAAAAAAAAACAAAACCAAATTTTCACTGAAAATAATCTTGGACTTTCATTACTTTATTTACAATGAAAGTTGTAAAGCCTCTTCAGAAAAAGCCATTTTCTGATGCAGATACCTTTGGATATCCTAGAAAGAGGCCTGCAAATGTATTCAGGATCAAAGAGCAAAGACAGGAATTGAGAGAAATGAAAGCAGCTTTGGATAGGACATCTGTGGGAACAAAGACARATGAATGTCTTAAAAAAATATTTGTGCTGGGCTGATTCAAATAACATAGTGAGGCTGGAGTTGTGGAAAGCAAGAAGACAATAGGATTAAACAGAGAACTGCCTTGAGAGATGGATAGAGCTCATASCCTCCACCACCCTTCCCAAAGTGGTGGCCGTCAGGACCTTGGGTGAGCAGCTGAGCAGGAGCCATTCCCCAGCCAAGGGTGAGCTGAGCTGTCCTACAAAGCTGTGGTGAAGCAGAGCAGGCAATTAGCGCCGGGCATCGCATGCACACGAGCGTCCAATGCACTCACGTCTGCTCGCCATAATAAACGAGCGCTTGGGTCTGGCTCCACRCACCCAACCACGCCAGCTGCAAGGACAGGACTGAGGGAAAGATTTGCGGTTAAATTGCCTGAGCAGACGAAACACAGAAAGAACATTTTAAATTAGCTGGGTTCAAATGTYGGCTCACTTCAGAAATTAGAATTAATCTGATCTAGCACTGTCTCACACATCTGTCAGCATGAGAAAATCACTAACTGGCAAGGAAACAGAACTGGCTGTTTGCTCTAGTCCACAACAGCAGAGCTATCAGATTTCAGGAAGGTTCTTACTTCTCTTATGAAGGGAAACTAGGGGTAGAAAAGGAAATTAACTTTAAAAGAGGAAATTCCTCTACCATAATGATAAGAAGGATAACTCAAATAGCATATATTGTTGGTAGGGAGAGAGAATATAAACAATATTAATAAAAATTGTCATAATAAATATCGAATAATTACATTCTTGTGACTGCTGCCTGTGGATTA